TTTTGGACGAGAAATGGCTCTTGTGAAATAAATTTGAATTAACTTCGGCACTCGGCTGGAAATGATCGGGGGTCGCTCTCGGGGGTCGCTCCCGGTGATGAGGGGACGGGGGTCTTTTATCATTCAATTATAATTGTATCACGCCATCCAAGCCAAGCGTTGGGGAACATCTCGGTCTTATTTCTATTCATCATAAAACATGTGGCAAGGATACTTGACGTGTCGTCTTACCGAGCGTTGTTATGGCACAGTGGGTCCGCTGTCACGCAAATGGGACTTTTTCGTCTTACTTCCGCTCATTGTGGCTCATTAAGGCCGATTGGGCCCCGTGTCCAATAAATGTGACTCTGTCTTACTTTTAGTCATAATGACACATTGGGCCCCGTATTGGGCCCCGTGTCGCGTTACTATAACTTTTTGTCTTATTTCAATTTTTTATGGCACATTGCCTCCCCCCCCCCTGTAGCTGTAGAAAACTTTTGTCTTACAGCAAGTCATATTTGAAGCCTTCAATTTTTGTCACAGTGGGTAGCCATGTAGTCCAATAAATGTTACTCTGTCTTACTTTTAGTCATAATGACACATTGGGCCCCGTATTGGGCCCCGTGTCGCGTTACTATAACTTTTTGTCTTATTTCAATTTTTTATGGCACATTGCCTCCCCCCCCCCCTGTAGATGTAGAAAACTTTTGTCTTACAGCAAGTCATATTTGAAGCCTTCAATTTATGTCACAGTGGGTAGCCATGTCTTCACGTTAACAAAACAAATGTCTGATGATGATAACGACGACGACGATGATGATGATTTAGTACGTTTAGTGTGTCCGCCCCGCTGGCTTAGCATTAAAGAAGTTCATTCAATTTGTGGCACTCCTTGGGGCAACGGCTCCCAACTTTTTTTTTTTTTATCCTATACGCTTTAATTATACTTATATTGAAATGCGGCTACTCTTAAAGGAAGATGTGAAAATATAATTGTGTGTACCTCTTAGTGGTTCCCCAGGGGTGCCGTTACTTACTGTAGTTGTGGAGCCTTGAGCTAGGCTTGTGGTCTCGGCTAAGGGGTTTTTTTGTTTTTTTTTTGTTTTGTGTCGCTAAAAATGTTTCCCCCAAGAAAAAGTGGGGAGGGATTGACTCCTCCGCCAAAAAAATGTTTATTAATTCAAAATAAAGTTGTGCATTTTCGCATATTCCTGAATTCAGTCTATCACTATCTTTGAGAAACGAACTTTTTAGGGTTTGTTTCATTATGCTTAGAAGTCGGTAGCTGTAGTGCCAATTTGTATTAAATATTTCATTAATTTTTATTTTATTTTCCTTTGAATCCACAGTATCGGACTCCAAGTGACAATTTTTGTTTACACAACAACTTTCTTTAAATTCCTTTGAAATTCATTGAAATCTCCTTTTCACTAAACAGTTATGTTAGAGTTGTATCCGAAAAGTTAATTTCTGATAGCCTTACTTAATGCTAAGTAGTGAAAATTAACGCTCCTTCATTTCTCATTTTTAATTATTTTTTAAAAAATAATTTTGAATTTATTTTCTTTTATGTTTTTCTTATTTATTTGGGGGGGGGGGTGTTGGGGGTAAAGTTTTGCATACCCTACATCAATGGGCCTCAATTTTTGTAAATGTTGTCAGGCCAAGCCTACCTCTTAATTATATTTATATTTTTTTTATATTTTTATGTAAGTGATAGACATTGTGGAGAGTTCGGACTTGGAGGCGCCGACTGACCAAAGGGCCGGGCGCGTCAGATCTTACAGTAGGGTACCGGCCATCTGACCAGGGTATTTCCCTGGGACGACTGGTTGGCAACCTGGAGGCGACAGGGGTGGGGGTAGTGACCGACTGATCAAAGGGGCGGGCGCTTAAGATTACAGACCTGGGAAAGAAACTCTATGGACCAGTGACTTATAAATAGGGACCTCTGGACAGGACTGGAGAGAACTCGGCCGGACAGAGAAGTGGACAGTCAGAGAGAGCTCCGACGGTAGGAGAAGAGGGCAGTCAGAGTTGCGAGATGAGAGAAAGTATAAGCGAAGTGTCAGCCCAATAAAGAAAACGATTATAATCATCAAATGTTATCGCCTGAGTTGCTTGCTTAGTGAATACGAGATATAGATGAAGGTTGGCAGAGAGCAAACAAGGTTTCCTTACAACATTTTAAATAATTTTTAAAATAAGAAGTATTATAGGCCTACCTCCTTATAAACATTTCATGTTTCCCATCAAATTTCTGAATATAAGAAGTTATCCCTTTCTTTCTTAATTTTGTGTACATCTCTGCGTTTCAACTGGAACAACTTTATGGAGGCTACGTGTAATTGAGAATGTATGCCCCTATCAAACGCCACAGTTTGAGAATCGCAGGCCCATACAATAACGAATATCATTATTGCGATTTATGATGCCAAAAAGTTTGTATGGTCTTCCATAAATGACACCACGCATTTTGGCCGATATCATGTAAACATCCCCCCCCCCCCAAAAAAAAACAAAACAACCTCACACACACACACACACACACACACACACCCATACCGCCATCACAGGGCTGCCAACTCAATATACTAATAAATATTTTAAAGCTTCAAAATTTATTACCGCGCTTTTTTTTAGATATTTGTTTTAACTGTTTTGTTTTGTTGTTTTTTTTTTGGGGGGGGGGGGTTTAAAGACGCGTTACATCATATATTATTTTCTAAAGATTGTGGATGGAATGGGGTTGTTTTTTGTTTTTGTTTTTTTTTTAAGATGAATTTGTTCACATGTTCAAAATTGAAATGCATGATTTAGTATAAAACTTTAACANCCCACCTTTAAAAAAAATTCAGTATGCTTCATTAAATTTATAACGGTCTTTGCAAGTACACGTCTAAAGAACTTATTAGTTTAATGTTAATACTGTAAGAATACTATTATCATAAACTTACAGTTATAAGAAAGAACGTAAACAGTGTGCCCAATATTTGTTGTTGTTTGTTTTCTTAATTTTAGTCTATTATTTATTTCTTGTAATAAAATTTGTGAGCACAAAAAAATATTGATATTTTTCAAGGGGAGCGGATGTGGGTCAATGTGGCTCGAGTGCAAAAATTATTGTTAATTTATATTTTTTTCACACGTGACGTTGCAATTTAAACCAATCACTAACAAAGAAAATATCACGTGACAGCGGGAGTAAACGCCTCCTCCCACTAACGCCATTTTGCTGATAGAAAGAAATGTCCTGCACACGACACTAATATTAATGTTTTGCACGTGGGTAAAGTTTTCATTACGGTCATTACCGGTAGCAACCTATCAACTTTCGATTTCGTTATCACAGATTTCAGCTACAATGTTAAGAAATTATATGTTTTTAATATTTAAAAAGGAAATTTGGCTGAGTCATGCCACGCACGTCGAGTCAAACATATGTTTACTATAATTTTTCAATAGTGAAGTCTGCAAAGTAAAGTTGGAAATAAGGAAATAGTATAACAAATTGAAGTTTAAGTTATTGTACCATCATGATTCTGATTTTTGTATATAATAAAATTCGTTTAAAATAAAAAAAGAAGGTTAGTGCAAAAAATGCAAAAGTAAAATATTGAGCTTCCAAATGGGAATGAATGATTTAGTAAGACTAAGCTAGTTAGGCATGCGTCTTCAAATAACAAAAAAATAGCTTCAATAATTTATATGGGAATTTATATTAAGTTATTTAAATTAAGGCCTAAAAAAAGGTTAAAGTCACAATAATTTATTAGACCCACTACAAATTATTATTAATTCTTTTTTTTAATAATAACTATTGGTATTATTAATACGTTATAAATTAGTATTAGTAGGCATACGACACATGACATGTACTATATTATATTGTAGGTTTCATGGACTTTCACTTTTTGTCAACGCAAAGTTAAAATGACAATATTACGATTGTTCTTGTATCCTACATTTATTTAATAATATAGGCCTCAATCAACCTATAACCTAGCCCTAGATAATATTAATTCAAATTGTATTTTGGAGACTCAGCTGAAAGAGTTTGTAGGTAGGCATTATTTATTCCACATTCACATTGTGATTAATATAAATATGATTACAATTATTTTAGTAAAGTAAATAATATTAATATAATAAAACAAAATTAATTTATTATATAATTTTTAATATTAATATCAAGTTAAAAAATATGTTGTTAGGCTACCACTACTACCAGAGATTGAGATAGGTAGCCTAGTGACTAGACTAAACTAAACAGTAGGTGTTTGTTTACATTTCTTGGACTATGTTTACACCCAGGCCAGTAGTAGTTATTAATAGGAAGGATCATTAAGAACCATAAACAGGTGTATGACCAGTGGTATCTTATCTTAGTCGTAAGCTTTCTGGCCTGGCTTATTGACTTCACCTGTTGTGTTTGACTTTCCTACACTTACACACCACACTAACACAGTGCAAGGAGGATAGCTGGATCAACACATTAATTTTAATCAGTTAGTACATTCTAAACTTACAAGTAGAAATATCTTATATTTATGTCACTTATGATACATTGAGATTGAGACCAATGATTTGGAGAATTTTTATTCTTGAAGTGTATGCTGTATGCTGAGCAATTACAGTTTTAATCTTATTTTAATGTACTGTTTATCATCTTAATTAAAGACTAGTTACTGTAATAGTAATATGTTTAAAGTTACATTTTTCATTTTTTTAAAAATATTGAGTAAATAGTTGAATAGTCTAGTCATTTCATTGCTCACAAATAGTCATTTCGTTGCTCACATATCAGCTTTTTAAATAACTACAAAATCCAAGTAGGCCTGCTCCATTTTATTAAGCTAAGTAGTAACAGGCCTGCAAATTTCTAAGAGTAAGAGGCTTTGTTTGCATATTTAGTTAAGGCTTGAATTATGGTTTGAAAGCAAAATTAAAAGGTCCCAAAGAGTTTGGAAATACCTTGTAGGAATTTTATTAAGTTTAGCCGAATTATTTTAAATAGATTTTTGTTTTGTATAATTTGTAAAGTTTAATATTTCTACACCTTCTTTTTTTTTATCTATATTTAGTATTTTGTTTTTTAGTGGATTATAAAAAAAAATGGGGAGTGAGGATATCTTGACAATTTTCTTGGTTATACTTGGGCTAATAAATTTGGTTCAACTGGTTGATGTAACTACATCTAAATCTGATGAGACAACAGGAATTGAATCCTTGAAATCTACACCAGCCCCTAGCTGGCATGTCCATGTTCATGAGGTGAGAAAATTCACGGCTAGTTAATATCTTGATTTGAAAATTTATTTGTAGAGCACTTATTCAGCTAGAGTTAGTTAAAAAGTAAATATAAAGCACAATGATATATGTTTATACTTGAATTAAATATTTTTGATTAGCCTAGGTCCATGTTTTTGCCTGAGTGTTTAAATAAATGGTCACAAAGAGCATTCACAAGTACAGCACCATGTTCACACCTGCCCTTAAATGGACTTGAGGGATGAACTGGGTGAATCTTTATTAATTGATTTAGGTCCTACAAGAAACTTGTTTTGTCCTCTTCTGTACCTTGTTAGGGATTCTAACCAACTGCAATCCCTCCTAAATTCCCTAAAAGTTACAGTTAGTCTCCACTTTTATGATCATCAAATTCTTTTTCCAGATTTCTTATTAATGTTACATATAACAATGGCGTTTCAAAACAGTTTTAAATATTTCATTTGATATCAATATCTTCAACAACAAAAACAGGAAGGAAGCAACAATGTCACCTTTAATGTCACCCTTGATACTATCACTTTAAAAGAGAGTTTTTTCTTTACAAAAAAACTTTTTGCAAAGTATGGTGATCAGCAGAATTTAAATCAGAGTGATCTCACCTTGCTTTTACATCATCTGGGACTAGGCCAAGCCCATGGTGAGTCAAACTCAAAGCTGTTGTTTACCAAGGGAACATATTTTCATTTAATTTCTCAATTATAAAATGTTTAGTTTTAAGTCACCTTTAATTATTAATGGCTTTGGTCAAAGATTAATTTTACCTAGATCCCCCTTTATGAACTTGTTCCTTTATTCATGTCTAGATCATGGCCTTCACAAACGTTCAGCTGGAACCGTTCACATACATACAGATCATGAAAAGGTATTTACCGGTATTATGTTATGCTGTTGATATTTAAACCTGATTATATGAACTTGTCTCAAGTGAGCCAACTGGATAGAGTAAAACCATTTACAACTAACTAACACAATTTTGTTGTTTTATAACTTAAACTTAAATGTACCTCAGGAAAGTTAACATTAAATTAAGGGCTCTTAAATGTAGGTCCCAGACCTAACTTTCTTTCACATTTTTCCATCTTGAGATTAAATAGAACGTTTTACATTTTTTCGCACTTAGTAGTTACCTATTGTATATTTTGCACAGAGTAGACTTTTTAAAAAAAAAAAACATTGTGCACAGTTTGACAATTGTAGATGTTGCACACAGTCGAGCAATTTTTTTATATTTTCCATGCAATTGACAATTGGAAGATTTTGCACACAGTGCTTCTGCTGTCCCAGTTTGATGTTTTTTTAATGCTAATATTTTGACCTCCTTTTTGTGTGTAGGAGCAGATGTTTCTCTATATTTGTTACTCGTTTTGAGAAAAAAAAGAGCTCAAGTCGTATAAGAAAAAACTATTATCAGTTTAATATTAAAAAATCAGATACTGCAACAGTTTGATTTTAGATGACAATTTACAGACATGTTTACCCTCAAACTCTTAAAATTGTACATTATCATCACAAAATTGTTTAAAACATTATCTTAATTGTAAAAAAATAAAAATACTGTATATATACTGTATACACCTCAAAATCATACATTGTATGCCAAAATCTTAAGAGTAAACAGGTCTGAATTCATAGAAAAAGTTGGGGGGGGGGGGGGGCCACAAAAAAAATAAGCTTTGCAAAAACAGGTCAGAATTCATAGAAAAAGGGGGGGGGGGGGGGGCCACACAAAAAATCAGCTTTGCCAAAAATTGTGCAACTTCTAGTCTCAAATGATGTACATAGCATTTTTCTAAGGATTTTTTAAAACTCACTCACTTGGGGTTTTGATTCTTGAATAAATTGATAGTCTTTGGATCCTCCAATTGCGCAACAATAGTTTGTTTTTTTTAATGTTTGAAAATCTTTTTATTTTAAAAAGAGAAGACTTGTATGTCTTAGTTGCATTACGTTTATGCAATTTTCCTTCCCTCTATCATCATGCATTGCTAATCAAATGGTTATTCTGACAACTTCTTTATTTAGTGTCTATCAGCCCATGAAATCCTAGAAGCGTTTCACTTGGCTTCACAAACTAAACTAACAGCTGAAGAGTTCACCTACCTGTGCCCAGCAATAGTCTTTCAGCTGGACTTGGATCTCTGCAAGCCTCATCATGCCCACGAAGATAAAACTGAAGATACGATTCATGGCCCAGTGGAGAATGTGAATCTTTCAAAAATACCATCCAAAGGTAGTTCACAACTTAATGGCATCCTCAAAAACATAGATAAATATTTCAGTTGGACCTGAATAATACATTTTTTTAATTATACGATTATTTCCCTGAAAGAGTGTAGAGACCAATGGATTAAATTATAAACTTTAGACCAATAATTGCAATGGCTAAATTCATTTTAATTGTCCTTGCTAGATTTTCCAATGCTTTTTATAACGTCCAATGGCCAATGACAATAAATCGGTACAACGCTGCTTGTGTCCACACTGCTAAACAGAGAAACTTGAAATCATGAGCATAAACTGAGGGCTTTTATTTGGATGAAATTACACAATGATGAAATGTTTTTCATAAAGCGTGATATGCTTGCCGGATGAATATCTCCCGCTCTATTTGTCCGGTCGCCTTGCATGTAGACACTGCCTTGTGTTTATCGAAGCGAACCGCGATCTCCAAATCATTATTCAATTCTCAATTGATCCGATCGTGATTCATACTTTTACAAGGCTAAAAAATAATTCAGACTTTTTTTGTTTTTTGTTAAAGCTTTCTCAATTAAATGGTTAAATCTATTGAAAGCGGTGGGTACAAAACTCTGATCGTTTTAATGCCAGAGTCAAAGAAATGTTTCCAGACTCACAGATTGCTAGAAGAAGATTGTTAAGAAATATTGCTATGAAACAAGGACAAGCATAAAAGTTGATACTCTTTCTAACTTGCTTGTAACTAAAATCAACTGCAATGCTAACCTTCAGTTGTCCAAAGAGCTGTTGGACATGTGCAAAAAGGCCACGAGGGATATGCTGGAAAACTGAACTCTTAGCAGCCTGTGAACATATGTAATTTACATATGTGCACAAGCTGCTAAAAGTTCAGTTTTCCAACATATCCCTAGTGGCCTTTTTGCATTGTAAATAAAATGGATATTCTGTTATATATTTAGTATATATCTGTGGCCTATATAAACATTTCCTATAATCTTTTTTCTCATGTTCTTTGGACTTTTCAAAGACAGTGGGGGTAACTTTATATTTACTTTAAAAAAGGCTTGTGCATTAGTTTATAGATCTTAAACCAAAGCCCCCCCCCCCCCAATTGGCACCACCCTCTTGGGGCAGCAGCCTCTCTTCCCCCTTCATGCATCCCCCTACAGATTTTTTTTCTTGGCAGGTAGGCAGGTCTGAGTTTAAAAGGGTACAAGTAATCCACTGTTTGGCAGCATTTGAATTATTCTATTTTGGAAAAATTGTGAATTTTTATGATCAATTGTTATTCCTGAGATTTGCATTACGATCACAAACAAATTTCATTGATTTTATTTCATTTTACTCGTTGCAGTTTGGGGGTTCAGCTTCATTGCCGTTCTTATCATCAGTCTGGTGGGTCTGCTTGGTGTCGCTGTCATCCCAATCATGCAGAAAGTTTTCTACAACCACTTGCTTCAGTTCCTGGTGGCCCTGGCCATAGGGGCTTTGTCTGGGGATGCTTTGCTGCACCTGCTGCCTCATGTAGGTGGATAAATTAGACCCTGTTCACCTCATGTAGGTGGATAAATTAGACCCTGTTCACCTCATGTAGGTGGATAAATTAGACCCTGTTCACCTCATGTAGGTGGATAAATTAGACCCTGTTCACCTCATGTAGGTGGATAAATTAGACCCTGTTCACCTCATGTATGTGGATAAATGAGACACCATTCACCTGATAGTGTGGATAAATGAGACACTTTTCTCCTCATGTAGGTGGATAAATTTGACACCATTCACCTGATATAATGGATAAATTAGACATTTTTCAACTTAAGCAAGTTAATAAATTATTCATTTTTCTCATGTAGGTGGGTAGATAAGACTATTCACCATTGTATTATGAATTTTAAATTTTTATAGAGTTTCATCCCTTTTTTTTCTTTTTTTCAAATTTTATTTTCTTAAATGATCTAATCATCAAATTAAATTGCTTTTTTTATTTGTGAAATGAATATATCTATTTTTGTCTGCAACTTTGAAACCAGTTCTCAGTGTAGTTATACTGATATAATTTCTCAGTGTATTTGAATAATGTTGTCAGATCTCCATGTGATTCAATATCCTCCACCCTCAGGCTATAATTGGATCATCCACTCACAAACATGATCATGATGCTGAGATGGCTGAGGAACATGACCATTCAGCTGCAGCTTGGAAAGGTTTGATGGCCCTTGGAGGCATTCTGTTCTTCTTTGTCACTGAGAGACTGCTGACGATAATCACGGTGATTAAACGAAACAGAAATTCAAAGGTGAGATGGGTCGATGGTCTTCCTTTCCTTGGGTCATCTGTTGGATATTTGTTGTCATTTTATTTAAAATTAAAGTGAACAGATTTCCAGTTTGTTCCTGCTAACCTGGGTCCAAGGTTGAAATTTAAGATTGATTGAAATACACTCATTGTAATGTTCCACACTTGATATAACAATTAAGAACACTGACACGCTGTCCATTTGCCTTCTTTAATCATCTTGCAGATATCAGCAAGTTCACAAATATAACAAAGTCTATAAATTCATATCGCCGTATTAACAAGTTCACAAATATAACATAGTCTATAAAGTCCAAATGAAAGAATAGCTGCACTGAAAAGAAACTTGATGACCGTTAAAATCTATCACGACTTACCACTTCCACTCTCAAAATCAAGACCACACGCTGCCCTAAATCCTCGTCTCCCAACATAAAAGTTATAAACATTCTGACATGCTTTTTGACAGTTCCCAACTTACGACCAAAACAAAATATTCAAAACAAAACCCAAAAGATTTTCACAAAAAGAATCCCAATAAAATTCACGAAACAAATTACAACTACTTGTGTCCCAGGTAATTTGTTAAGCTGTTGCAGACTTTTTAAAATTGGGGGTAATTTTTTTAATTTTTTTTTATTAAGAGTTGATAAGTCCAAAATAAAAAAGTATATATTTTAATCCCATTACAGCGACAAAACAAGAAGAAAAGATGTCAAAAATTCTGTGATATAGAATCCAACAAAACTTCAGTGGGTGCTAAACTTAGCCACAGACAGACCAGCGAGGATGGGTGTGACCGTACGGTCATGCTGGTCCACCCCAATAAAGGTAAGGATTTCACCATGATCTGGCACAGTTGGTCCATATTTATGTTTTGAGCATGCTGCTGATGTTGGTATTTTATTGTTCATGTCATTTCTGTGACTGTATAGTTTGAAGAGGGGGGGGGTTCTACTTTTCATAACTCATAACTCGCGAAATCATTAGCGTCATAACTGTAAATAAATTTTCTTTATTTCTCTCCTTTTATAGAAAAATGACAGTTCCTAAATTTAAACTGTGCAAAATGTTAGGTAACTCAAAGTGTTGAGTTTTCTATTAATTCTATTCTATTTGCATTATCCACAAAGTTTGTATGAACCCATTCACTCCAGATTTTTGGATTCCCTATTGGGGACTTAATAAAAATTATTTAAATCATTTGACTCATGCTAGTTAATGTAAAGTGTGAAATCTTGAACTGTGAGATTGTTTCTTGCGCATTGTAATCAGGGATTGGTCATTTGAAATTAGTTTTGATGGTTTTAACAATTATACATACCACTTTTTAAAAAAAATCAAATTTATTTGTTGGAGCCGCAAATTTACAAAAGAATGAATAATGGTGTTCTGGTTTCTATGCATGCACAGAAGATGTTGATGTTCACCTTCTTGTTTGCACGATTTGCTTCTTAGCATTTTAAGGTTATAGCCAAGCTATGTAGTAACTAGCCTGCCCTATGTCAATGTTCACATTCTGGCTTGCATGATCGCTTGTAGCTCTGTGTTATTGTCACTTGTTGTAGTAACTATCCTGCCTATGTTAACCACATGTTATTCTAGATGAGGCCAGTGGAGGATCTGCCAATGGTATGATCTTTTTTTTTTTTGCCTCACCTTGACCTACTTTTCCCTTGAACCCTAAAGCTTTATATTATAGAGCTCTTCAGCCAAATGTAACACTGTTCACCTTTTATGGATGTATATCTAGCTAACACTATTTAAATTCTACTGTTCAAAAAAGACCAGTAGGTTTATTAGGAATCAAATGGGAAATATGATAGTGATTTTAGCTCATTATAATTCCATGAGTCTTAATAGACCAATTGAGGGTCAGTCAGTTCATTATAATTCCACTAGGATCAGTTGTCCATTGAGATGAGTCATAAAGTAAATGTACCACTGCAGAGATTTGGTTGTCATTGTATGGATCTAGAACAGGGATGGCGCGCCACGTAATTTTTGGGGCCTGCAGATGCCTTATTAATCACGAATAAGCTTTTATAAATATAAATTTCTAACAAATAAGCGCAAAAAAATATCTCAGTTGATCTTGACACCAAAACATGGTCAGTAAACAAAACAAACACTCCAAAGCATAAACTGAACAAATACACATGACACAATTCAAAAATAATAAACATGTTTCAGATTTGGATCATTTTATACCACTTACAGCTGAATAAAAAAAATATTGTCAGTGCACGCCTAGAGTATAAGCCAAATCTCCTTGGGAAAAAAAATCAACTTCATAAGGCTTGTTCCTCTTCAGATTTCGCGATCAGTGAGTGATTGGTATTTGGATTATATATATATATATAGAGAGAGAGACAGAGAGATTAGTTGTAAGGACATGTGGCCCGCTAAAATGTTTACTTGCTATCAAAGTGACCCGCGAAGCCTTTTGGGTTGGCCACCCCTGATCTGAAATAAGCCTTCGTTTTTAATAAGGATTTCTACTCTATCTCCAGCTTTACAGCAGGGGTTTTCAAAGTGGGTTTGCAAATAATCCTGAGGTGGGGTGCTTCTAAGCTGGGTTTTTTTTTGTACTCAATAATAAATATGATGTATTAGTTCACTAATGATGAGAGTGTCTGACTGCGGTAAAGCTTTCAAGTAGATCAATGTGACACAAACAGTTTGTGTTATTAAAACAATATATGTTCAGCTTTAATAATGGTTACACAGAATACAACAGCAAACGTTTACCAAATGCCTTCAGCAATGTTTTTTTTTCCTGTTTGGTTTTTAAATTTTACTTCCACCCACTTCCTTTCTGTTCTCCTGAGCTTTTTTTGTTGTTTAGGGACTTGTGCCCATTCTTCTTCTTTTCTTGCATTTTAGGAAAGATATTTATTATATGTAAATTTAATTTATACTTATAATTTGTATGAATGTTTTTTGTGCTGATGAAGGCATTTGCCGAAACCTTTGCAATTGTGTTCTGTGTAACCATTATTAAAGCGTAACCTATATTATTTTATTTGACACAAATTTTTTATGTCTCTGGAATATTTTACACATGATTATTATATAAAACTTTTTTAAAAATCAAATTGAAAGGATTTTTTTGGGGGTGTTTTTTTTTGTAGGGGAGACCATTGAGAAAAACTTTGAAGACCACTGCGCAACACTTTAAACCAAGCCTTACACCATTCATAATATTTTACCCTCCATCATATCCCGTCTGCTAACTGAATCCTTATGTTTTCTTTATAACTATTTGATATAAATTAACCACTCATAACTCTGCAAAAATACGTTGGAATCTGCATTACCCTGAATTAATGATTCTCAGAATAGCATTCAGTAATTTTCACATTTAACAGACATAACGACATATTTGAAAATAATGCAATAAATTTCATTATTTTTTAGTTCTATCCTTTATGACAAATTAATTGGAATGCACATGTGTTAAATCTACCTCTGCTTGTTTACGTTTATATTTTGTGCATATTGTCTATTTAAAAATGTACTCATATTACTGAACAAATTGTAGGTTCATTCCTATTGTTAACTTTAAAAAAAATACTGGTACCATATTCAAAAATGTTTATTTCGAACATTTATTATAGACCTGGCATTAACTGTCCCGCTACTGCTTGTTACCAGATCATGCTGTAAAAGTACAAAAGTATTATTGAAGTACTTCTTCCTCACTGTCTTCTCATGAGTGCACACATGACAGTTTGCTGTCATCAGTGGCGTAGCGAGGGTGTTTGGCGCCCGGGGACAAGATTCGCGCCCGGGGACAAGATCCATTTTTAGCGCCCCTTTTTCTTTTTTTTCAACTCTCAAACCCATTATTTTCATCAAAGCACATTTTGGCGGCCCAGCTAGCTGGCGCCCGGGGACATCTGTCCCCCCCCCTGCCCCCACCACGCTACGCCTCTGGCTGTCATACCTTAACATCTTTGATGATATCAGAGTACTCAGTACTTTAAACAAAGTTAGATATTTTTCATGAGTTGGGTAAAATGCTGAAAAGATCCGACTGGCCGTTACCACCACAGTTAGCTTGGTTTGAAAAGATCTTCTTTCCTTGTGTAAATGATTAGTAAATCAGTATTCTCTTGGTCCCTATTGAATCATAGTGTGTCTCATAGTAACCCCACACCATCTTCAACGTTCAGAAGACAATTATAAAAATGTGTTTAGCCTTCACGATATGTCAATAAGCTTCACATTTACTCATCTGGAAACTAAAATTTCATTTATCATGATAAAATTTTGGATATTTAAAAAAAAACAAAAAAACTAATGACATTTAATTCAGAACTTGACGTTTTTTCCACTGTTAACAGAATTAACAGCATGGTCAGTAAATTCTATAATTTGACTTTCAGCACTGAAGAGCTATGCAGATGCAGCACATGAAGAGTTCCTGCACCAATGTGATGATGAAATCACACTGAAAACCAAGACCAAGCAATTGTCAGAGAAAGAGGCAGAGATGGAACTAATGGAAGTCTCAAGAGCTACTGACCAGAATGGTGTCGGCTTTGTCCACTCTGGTGGTCATTCTCATGGCCATGGTCATGCACATGGTGTCCCCACTTCGGTAGCAGCTGTTGCTTGGATGGTCATACTAGGTATGTGAATTATTTTTTTCTTAAATATCTAATAATAAGAAAAGTTATTGAGTTGGAAATTGACAAAACTTGAGAGAGATAGCTTTCTTTTACCCCTGCAAACATGAAAATCTTCATTTTGTAGAGTTAGTATCAGTTCCCAACCATAGCCTTGTTTATATCCACTTTATATTATAGCTAGGTCTAGATAGAGAATGAATAGACTTAAACATTTTTCACTTTTTTAAATTGTATAGATAATAATTTTTTGTATCATAATTAACTTCTGAAGTTTTGTTTACATCAGTATTTGTGTTTCCCCCTTTTCCAGGGGATGGCATCCACAACTTTAGCGATGGCCTGGCCATCGGTGCTGCCTTCGCCAACAGTATAACAGGAGGTTTTAGCACATCCGTGGCTGTGTTCTGTCATGAGCTGCCCCATGAAATAGGTCAGTAGTCCTCACTCTGTTCTGCCTGGATTTATTAGTATTTTTTTTTTGTATCTCTGTTATTAAGTGAATATGATGAAAAATTTAAAAAATTGTGTTTGTGAGCATTAAAGAAAGCCATCGATTTATTTCTCAAATAAATCTTAGGCCAATGGACCAGTAGTTATTTCTGTGACAGACCATGACCATATGAGTTAAAAAATGTATTCTAATTTCTCCAGGGGATTTCGCTGTGTTGCTCCGCGCAGGGATGACTGTTAAACAAGCAGTTCTCTACAACTGTTTGTCTTCATTGCTTTGCCTGGTTGGCATGTTGATAGGTGTAGCCATTGGCAATATATCATCAGCCTCTTTATGGATATTTGCTACTGTAGGGGGGATGTTCCTGTACATTGCCTTAGTGGACATGGTCAGTATTCACCTATTATCTTTATATTCAGTCGGGATGGTCAGTGTTTACAATTTAACTGTAGTATAGATAAATGCCATGAAGTATAATAATAATCTCAGTGTATGGACATTTTATATAGTCTAATTAATCTTATAAACTCCATGTCTGAACAGTTTATCAGTTTTAACAAATGCTGTATTGTTTTAACAGTTGCCCGAAATGAGTTCAGTTGACCCTAAGAAGGGAGAGAATCCATTCCTACATTTATTTCTTCAAGTTCTTGGCATCTTGCTTGGATCTGGAATCATGCTGCTTATTGCCCTTTATGAACATGACATCAAAAAGTCCTTTGGCTAAGCTGATTAAAAAGTATGTCTTGTGTCTTATCGGTACCCAGAAATCCTAGAAGGATAGCATTTATTTTTGTCTTTCTTTTGATCTTTGTTCATTTCAAGATAAAATCTCAATTTTTTACCTAAGTGCAGTCACGTGCCCTCATATTTGCAAACAGCACTGACATTTCTTTACTGTGCAACCACTAGCTATTTAAATGCCGATTTATGCATCAATTAAAAAAGATTATAAAATATTCGTAATTTTCTCTTCAAAAAAAAGATAAAAATGAATTCAATTTAATGGTTTTATTAAAATATAAAAAACTGATACCGCATATACTTGTTTATAAGCCTGTACCGCATATACTTGTTTATAAGCCTGTACCGCATATACTTGTTTATAAGCCTGTACCGCATGTACTTGTTTATAAGCCTGTTGGTTCATAAGCCAACCCTCTTAGTTGTAACCGGTAACAGCCCCAAGTATGTAATCTGAAGCCATAAAATAATATGTCAGTGGAAACAATGCTGTACCATAGAAAATAACACTTTTTAAAAAAAAATCCAAAGTAATTATTGTGCAATTAAAAATACTTAAAAACTAAACAACATGCAGTGTTATGGAAAAAACAGATGCTCACTTCGCTTGTCAAACTGTATTTTTGTGTATGGTAACCATACTATACATTCCAAAATTAGGACCTCGGCAATCTGAAATGGCTACTTCATTTCTCAGTGGAGGTACTTTGATAATCTCAAAGCCTGGCCAAATATCAGCAATAGTTAAATGTCTGACCAAACTATGTGCAGAGCTTTTTTGTTGACTGATGTCAATCCCTTTAATTTGGCTTATGAACAAGAACATGCGGTAATTGTTTTTTTAAACAAATAAACATAGCTTTGGGGGGGGGGGGGGGTTGGGGGG